ATTTATTAGTTTATTATGTGCAGTAGGGTGAACCTTGAATTTGGGCTTTAACTTGTGAAGGAGGGAAAGATTTAACCATCATGGCCATGGGTTTCTTTTTTCATTATCATTATTATTATTATTTTGAAAAAAAAAAAAAAAAAAAAGAGTAAAGGGGAAAACATGTACATTGGATCTGATTATCTGCTCTTATTATGTTTAAAAAATTGCACAATATACTTTTCATGTTTTGAATTCATGGTGGCAAATTTGGGTCCCTCCTTTGCCAGCACTTCATCATCTGGGATGTACAAATTCAGTTACTTTCTATAGTGGAGGGGTATTAAGGTCATGGATTGTGTTTAATTATCATTTTATATTAAATTGAACACTGAATTTACTTATATACTTATTTTTCCCATATAGTTTTGTTTGAAAATAATTATTAATCTTTTTCTTGGACCACCACCTGTCCACCTCCCATCATTTGTTGATGCCCCTAATTTGATGGTTGTTGTTGCCATACAATACTAAATTGTGTATTAGAAAAAATAAAAAAAAAAAATTAAAAAAAAGGGGGACCTAAAAGGGGCCATGATTATGAAATTGTCAATGGTTAATTAAATAAATCAGTTATTTAATTTAGATTTGTTGCCATATCACTTCAAATCTTTGGTGAGTCTAATTCATAGATATGGTTTTTGGAATTTTCTTTCTCTTCTCATGAGAAAAATCCTGATGAATGCATGCATGCTTCTAAGAACTTCACCTCTTTCATGTATTAAAAAAATCTCCAAAAAAAAAAAAAAAGTTAAAATTATGATTCATTTGGTAAATAAAGATATGTACAAGTCATAATAATAATAATCTGCATGTAAGCTAATTTGGCTCCTATTAGAACACTTATCAGTCACATAATGATATAAGGTTTGTTGTATCAACAGTGGCTGCCAACACTGCTTGCTTGAAAAAAAGGACTTTGTAGTTTCTTTCTTTCCTTGATGAATTAAAGCTGAAATAAAAACATGTGTATTGATGATTTAAATAGTAGGACCACTCTTAATGAGTTCAATTATACTTGAAGAAAAAAACTCGACTTTCCTACCAGCAGATCATGTCAATTTCGTTGTACCATCTCTGAGTAATTACATGCAAGCACCTTCTGCCCGGTTCCGATCCGAGCCGTTGAATTACACTCTTGCGAGAGAGAGTGTGTATCAATCCAACGGCTTGGAACTCACCCATAGCGGTAGAGTTTTTACGGCTTGGAATGAAAAGCAAAAAAAATACATAGAAATATCGAAAACCACACAGATGATTTAAGTTGTTTTTGCCATTCTCCTCCTTCATGTACATGTAATGCAGCTCAATAATATTTCATCACAACTCCATTTCACACTAAAAAAATCAGTCTTTTTACCAAAACAAAAACAAAGCCACTACAACGAACAACACGCCAAAAAGATGATTTTTCAGAGACAACGTACCTACCTTGGTCATCGAAAACCATACTCGAACAAGAAACTACACACAGACGATCCCTTACAAGCTCTCCTGTAGTTGATCAAGAAGCACAAAATTCCCATCCTCACCTCCACAAAACTTCTCACCACCCAACAAAGGTATATTCGAAATGTAAGCTGCGTCATCAAGACAGCCCACCTGCCTCAAGATCTCCAACAATGTCTCCTTAGCCTCTGCATCATCACCTTTTTCCACAATCTCGAGAATTTTGGACACAATTTGATGCCTCGGCTTCCAGCTTACTGACCACTCAGCCAAGGCCGCATTTTTCAGGCAAGAGAGGGCTTCAGGGATTCTCATTTTTGCAATATGGTCCTCCAAGAGTATCTCCCATGTAAACGGGCTGGGTTTCCCTCCCATCTCGGTCATCTGGTCGAACAAAGTCTCCGCCTTTTGGGAAAGCCCGTCTCTCAAATAAGCGCTCAAGAGCAGATTACCTATCCGCGGGTCAAAAGCCGATTTTACCGAAAGCCACTCGTCATACATCTTCTCAGCACCCTCGATGTCATTTGATCGGATAAGGGCTGAAATCACCGCGTGATACCCATAGTTAGGGATATTTGCAAACGAGGCCTTGTAAGTGTTCCATATTCGATAAACCTCCTCCTTCCTGCCCATAGTACCATATAGGGTCATGAGATTGTGGTAAGGCCTACGGTCCCGGCCCATAATCATCACATCCTCGAGTTTCCTCAGACACTCCTCGGCTTTCTCCAGGAGACCCGATTTAATATACATCACGGCCATCGTGCTGAAAGTTGACCAGTTTGGATCTATGGAGTTGTTGAGCTCCATCTGCTGATAAACTTGCTCCATTTTATCCAGGGAGCCTTGGGACCCACAGGAAGAGAGCCATATGTTGTAGGTATACATATCGGGCGATATCCCTTTCCCCAATACTTCTGATATTAACGACTCCACTTTCTCGTGGTCTTTGAGGTTCATGTAGAGGGTCATCATCACATTGAAAGGGAGAATGTGGTTGGCGTAGTTTCTGTTTCTCATTTCGTCCATTAGGGACTCAGCTTTTTCCCTCATCATTGAGCGGACATACGCATTTAGAAGGGAGCCATATATTCTATTGTCCATTGAGGCGACTGGAATATTTTGGAAGTATTGTTCGGCGCTCGAAATGCCGTGCACTTTCGCAATGAGGTCGAGCTGGATGGCAGCGTCGCTGGAGGTTGTTCTGAACCTCTGTGGCATGTTATTCATCCATTCATATATCTGCAAAAGGCACAAACGTTTAAATGCTATAATTGAAGAAAAGAACTAGAGGCCACTGTAAGAGACTAGAGTGGCTCAATAATCACATATATATCTAATAACACGAAATTGGCCTTGAACACTGCATTTGCAGTTTCAAGAATAAATTTTTTTTGAGCATTTTATTATGCCCATTGTTTTCAACCTCATACGCTTCTGGCCCCATGACCTGATTTGTGTACCAAGTGATTAGCATAGACTATATACTCTAGAGTAGGATAAAAAAACAAGTAACCTAATGATTCAAGTTTGTAAGTTAAAAAACAACACACATAAGCAAGCAGTACTCTATTTTTTTCAGTTTCAACCTAGCTCATCATACCCACGTTCGGCAAGGACTTGCTCCATTACATAAAACTCTTCTCACTGACTGGCGCTTTTGAAAAATCAAATTTACCTCAAGCGCGAGTTTGAACCGCTTTAACTTCCTGAGCTCCTTGACAACTTTGGAAAGCTCCCATTTTGTTATTTTCTTGCCCTCATTTTCAATCCGACTCAACACTGCAGCAGCCCCAGAATCCGATTTCTTCAGCATATATAATTTCTTGTAAACATCGCTCCAATTCAGCAAGGCCCTCTTCCCGTAGTCAACTGTTCCGCGCGGTGTCGATGAACAAGTAACAAATACTGCGTTTTCCTCGTGGGTTTTATAGCCGGTGGTGTATAAGATGGATTTTTTCAGAAAAAAGGTCGAATTTTGAAGGAGCCCAGATGAGAATGAGAGCGCTTTTGAAGCGTAAACATTGCAGTGATTATTCTGTTTGGGATAATTTGGAGGAGGTTTTGGGATGGTGGGTTGGAGAAGCATGGCGCTAGGAAATAGTTTCTATGGCGCAGGTTGAGAGGTGATAAAATTTGGATATTATTTCCTTAAGATTAAAAAGAAAAACATTTTCTTTCTTGATTTCTTATGTATTTTTCAGAGTTTCGTTTTTTTAATATTAGATATGCCCCTCAAGTTTGTTCTATTTCGAAAGAACCCAACAAAAGTTGATGTTCTGTTTCTGGACTCGAATTCGGTAAGGAATATGGCATTTCTCTTTCTTGTTTTCCTTGAACAAGTTGAGTTTGACTTGTTTATACAAACTACATCTAAGCTACTTCGAGTTGAGAGTTGTTACACAAAATAAGTTAATTGTGAGTTTTATTCGACTCCATAAAGATGGAGATCATTAATTAATGAGTTGAACTCAACTCGATAAAGCTCCTTAAGCTCAAAAGGAAGATTTTTTATATTTTTAAGCTCGAGTTCGGTTCGTTAATATCGATAACGAGCTACTATAGAGCTCGATTACTGGCTCGTTAGTTAAGAGCTTGACTCTAACGATTTAACTCGAGTACTATGAGTTTGGACTTTGGTCAATTTTTTATACCTCTAATCCTACACTATGGAGATTTTAATTGTCCGACTACACTTAGGTTTTATTAGAATTTTGAGAATTTATTAAAATAATATTTAAAATAACATGATTAAAATTGATTTGATGTAAAAATATAATAAAAGTTATTGGAGTGATAGATAATTAATTATGTGAGCGGATGAATAGTGAATTAAATTAGTTGATGTGATAAACAAATATGTTAATTGATATTATTTAATTGTCCAAAATAATGGACATAATCGAAAGCAAAACAATTTCTTCTCAACCCTAACATCTTTGCATTTCAACTGCTCCTCTAACAATTTATTCTCAGCGTTCAGTTTAAAAAAACATGACTTCTGTAATGACCTAAGATGCGGATCAACCTAGGAAAACAGTCATCCTAAAAACCTTATTAGCACAAAGCATTGAGTACATATCAATACAAAATCTGAAATTACAAAAAAGAAAAAAAAAAAAAAAGGATATGATTAATATTTGAGTTCATATTAGCACAAAATATGAAAACCATGTACATGCGAGTGTACACATGTAATTAAACAGAAAATGAAACCCACCTTGAAAAACAACTAACATGCAATATGCGACGACATGGATGTCGACGACATGGATTGAAACCGATATTTGACAATGAAGATATCTGCTTGTGCTCCATGGAACCATGGAAACATACTGACATCGGTCTCCTTGAGTTTGCACCACATTTTATAAAATCTTATGGGATGATTTGGCATATGTGTGCTGATTTGGACTGTTGTGGGGTCGTCCAATGCCAAGTCTGTTAAGAAAATTCGCCAAATTGTATTTTTGTCAACGGAAGTTGAAATTCATGTATTGTTTTTGCCAAAAAAACAACTACAACGAACAGCCCGCCAAAAGATTACTTCTCAAAGACAATGTACCTACATTGGACATCGAAAAACCATATTCGAACATGAAAACTACACACAGACAATCCCTCACAAGCTCTCCTGCAGTTGATCGAGAAGCACATAATTCCCATCCTCACTCCCACCAAACTTGTCACCACCCAACAAAGGTATATTCGAAATGTAAGCTGCGTCATCAAGACAACCCACCTGCCTCAAGATCTCCAACAATGACTCTTTAGCCACCGCATCAGCACTTTTCTCCACAATCTCGAGAATTTTGGACACATTCTGATGCCATGGCTTCCAGCTTCCTGACCCCTCAGCCAAGGCCGCATTTTTCAGGCAAGAAAGGGCCTCAGGGATCCTCATATTTGCAATGTGGTCCTCTGAGAGTATCTCCCATGTCGACGGACTGGGGTTCCCTCCCATCTCGGTTATCTGGTCGAAAAAAGTCTCCGCCTTTTGGGAAAGCCCATCTCTCAAATAAGCGCTCAAGAGCAGATTACCTATCCGCGGGTCAAAAGCCGATTTTACCGA